CCCCAAAACCCCAAAACCCCAAAACCCCAAAACCCCAAAACCCCAAAACCCCTAAAGTTTCCTTAAAAATTGAAATTTAAAAATAAAATGAAAGTGTCTTCAGTAAAGGGAAAGTCAATTGAGTCTGGTATCAGGGTCTATTCTGCTAAGGCTAGAGACCGCAGCATGGAAGTTAGTTATGGCAAATAAGAGCCACAGTCACTCTAAGATAGCTAAGGGTGCTACTGTACGTCAGCCAACAGTGCAGCCATCAATTCCTTCTAAATATCAGAGAATTTTGGTCAATTCAAAACCTAAGAATACCAGATTTCCTAAGAATTATGAGCTGAAAAAGTTGTATAATACTGCACCAGGTCCTGGGACTTATAACCACAGGCAGGTAAAGACCCAGCAGAGGTCTCGGAGGACCAAACCTCTCGACCAATTCGAGCAGGAGGTCAATCGGTTCCCTGAGGAGGACATATTGAAGGCCCAGGAGCCTGGTCCTGCCGATTATGATCCTGAAAAGCCAGAGAAGCATAAAATGTGCATGAGTTTTTATTATAAACCAGGTATTTTAACAAAAGTTTTACATTTTAGAGGTGGCTAGGTCGTTAAATATGCTTACTAAATGGACTAAGTACTCCCAAGTTGATGGCACTACGGGGAGTTACGCTAGACCAATCACAGTTAATGTGTACTTTAAGTCAGAAAACCCTCCTCCAGGGTATTATGAAACAGAAGGGAGGCCAAAGACCCAATCTTTTCAAGCTGGCCATAAGCATTTATTCACTTCAAAGTCACGAAGGGATACGTTCCAGATTAAAAATGAGATCCCTGATGTTGGTGCATATGAGTTTGAGCCGCCTCAAGAGGATTTGATCCCCTCAGCAGTCTTCATAGGTCCAACTGAGCGAAAGAAGGTCAAGATCAACCTTTATGATCCTCATAAGGAATTGCAGAAGGAGGCTGGGCCTGGCCCAGCCCAGTACTACAATGATGAGGATAGCCAAGTTAACAAGTCTACACTTGCAGGCTCCACAATTCCTTCGAGGCACCAGCAAAGGGCAAAATCCACTAAGGCGAAAAAGAGGCCTAAAGTATTGAAATAGCAAATTTTGCTTGAACAGGGTCCCTGGCACTATTGGGTACAATTCTACTAAAGAGAACCATACATTTACAAATGCTTTCCAGGTATCTAATACTGACAGGTTTGGACAAGCTATAGAGCATAAGAAACCAAGGGATGATAAGCCAGCTCCTTGGGCTTATAATGCCAAGGTCATACCTCATAAGAAGCCTGTTTCTTATAGCATGGGACGGATAAATAAGATTAAGCCAAGAGTGAATAGGTTCAAGGCTCCTGGCCCAGCTTATTATAAGCCCCTTGTAGAGCCAAAGTTGACTTCTTACCATCTGAATGCACAAAATCTTTGGATGTAAGATTAATTCAACTTAAGCTGACCAGTAAGGGGTTTTGGGGTTTTGGGGTTTTGGGGTTTTGGGG